CCGTGTCATTTTTGGGGGTGTGCCGGCGATTCGCGTGTCCCCCTTACTGCTGCTTGAGTTTGAGTTAAATAATAATGAAAAAGTTTAAAATATATGCGCTGCATATTGGGAATTTAAAATAAGGAAAGCAACCAAGGAAGGGACTGAAACTATGGAATCCTAAAATACATTTCTAGGACATTTCTTCTTACTAAACAGCTCCATTAATGAATTAAAATGACTAACAAACTCCAATACATTAATGCATATTTTTTGTTTTAATGTGTAGCATTTTGGAGACTGATGCTGTGTTTGAGCGTGTTGTATGAGTTGGCATTGATTTTCATCTTATTCCAGGTACTGTTCCATAATAATAAAAATAACATGTGTGATAGGTAAATTATGAGCCTTGTATGAAACGACTGAAGAAGAGGGCCATACAAGCCTTTCACAACTTCAAGTCGCGTAAAAAATGAGCCAGCTCGACTAGAAACCGTGGACAGCTGTTTCGGCCTGTATTGAGCCTCATCAGCATGGTGTATCTAGTGAGCTGGTAGAATCCCATGTAAAAGTAGTACACATTAAGTACGTATAATTTTCAGAACTACACATTACATTCTTTTGGTAATTATCATTAATATCGTATTTTGTGTAAAGACTTTAGATGATGCTCGACAGTTGTTAAAATATGTTGACAAAAGTCTCKGAGAACCATTACCAGAGACATTGTACTGCGACGATTGTTCACTTTATACTCCTGGCCATCCAGATGGTCCATTTCATAACTTCATGGTAATTAATTATTATCAGGATGCTATTTCGCTAGGATTCACATCATGTACAGAACGCATTGTGACATCCAGGGCTGTTTTCAAAGCCATTCATCAACGTGGGCCAATCATCTTTYGTAGTGATCCTTTGTATGCTTAAAGGGGCACTTGGATGAAAATGCCCCAATTTTTGAAAGTCCGAATAATTGAAGTATTCGAGGATAATATGACTCAATTATAATATTATAAAAATCAGATTAGCAAAAATTTTAGCCTGTGAGCCACTTGCAGTTGAGATATTTTGGGCCAAAAGCGAAAAGAACGAAATGACGTCATTTACTCACAATTTATATGCTGAATAAAATTGATAATTTTCCCCCGCCACTTTTGACTGTGAAGGAAACATGTTGCTTGGCTACTATCTGGGCCATATAGATAAGTTTAAACAAGTCATTTCTAATTTTCATTGATTTTCATCCCCTTTAACTGCAATTCGTTTCGGAGCTATATGATGCTTGTCATTCGTTAACTGATATTTAATTGGTTTTGGTTTTTGTTCAGGAAAAATGTGACTTTTTTGTGTTCTGCCACTTGATTGGATGGTGGGCCAAGGTACGTACTGTACGCTGCTTAATTTACAGTCAAACTACCTCAAG